TGCCGCCGCCTGCCCTCTGTGCGTCCTGCCGGAGGGAGAGGCCTTTCCCGGGCCCCGGCTCCGCGCTGGGCCGGCCCGGGGCGGGCCGTCGCAGAGGCCTAAGGGGCCTGGGCGGGCCTCGCAGGGCTGTGCTGCTTTGGGCTCTCATTCGGAAAGGCTGTTGTCGTTAATTAATCTTTCTGCTCTCAAAATATCGTCGGGAGGGGAGGGGCGTGTTGATGAAGCTTTGCCTCTGTAGCTGGTCGTGTTTCTGCCCTGAGCTGATGAGGCATTTTGTCGGCTCTCACTAACTGGGGCCTCTGGCTGGCCTGGAGCAGAGAGGCAGCAAGTTCACCCCTGTGGGGTTCCCTGCGCTGGCCGAGCACTGTGGGAGCTGTTTCCTTGGTTGTGATTAAGCTAATAGTTGGTTAAGCATAACATATCAATAATGTTAATGTGATAACATTGTCTGTGAGCAACAGTATATTGCTTTATGTAAAAACCTGGGGGAAAATAGGAGTATTTAGTCAAACACATGATTTCTTTCCAACCGTGGTTATCTTTAGGGATTATGAAATTCTCAGGGCCTAATCCTATAATCCTCATGAGTGCATGTCATCCTTAGTCATGCAAGTAATACTATTTTTCTCATTCCAAATTGTTATTGCTCCTAGGTGTATCCACTGTCCTGTGAAATGTTGAAAAGCAAACCTTCTGAAGAAGTCAAGATGAAATACCTCTGCTTTTGCCCAAGCAGAGAGGCATGGGAAGCAGTATGTGTGGTATGTGAAGTGGGAGTGTATGTACTGGTTGCAAATAAGCATACATACAACCTAAAAATTTTACACCTTAAACTCAGGAATACAGTGGGTGTGTGAACAACTTACTAGTAAGTGATTTTTTTCAGTGAACTAATTTGTAAACCTACTGTAAGATGGCTGTAGGAGAAAACGCCGCAGCACAAATGCATGAGTTCTTAATTTATAAGAAAAATAAAAGACTGCCTGGAATTTAATAGAATTTCAAATTGCAGTTGAGCCAAAATCTAGTGCCAGTCTAATAAGCATTATGCTCTCAAAGTTATTAGACTGACTTGAAGTGATTAGTTTGAGATAAATTTGGGATGAACTAAAGCATTGCTTCAAAGGGCAAGAGGAATGGGAACAAAGAAAATTAGTGCACTATTCCTTAATAGAAAGAGAAGGGAGGAGTTAGTCTGGACACCTCATAGTTGCTCGTCTCCTGTGTATCTTCTTATGAGACAAAGCTCAGGCCCCACAAGAGTGAGTGTGTCGAATGTTGCCAACTGATTAAGTGCTCTAATGGAAATGTGGGACAGGAGTAATAAAATAATTCAGAGAGCTGGTACATTGCAACTTCTTCATCTCTTATCTCTTCTTGCATTAAATGGAATCTGCATGTGTTAGAAAAGTTACGGTTAGCTTAAAGACTGGTTCTAAGAAAACATATTTGGACCTTGCAAATATGGAAATTCAATTGCAGATTTGCTTGAATGAAAAAGACTAAAGAATACAATGTGAAAAGTTGCACATTGTCACATCCCATTGAAATAGTCGCAATAAGATTCCTCTTTCAAAAACTCTGGCTTTATATGCAAGCTATAGTGCTTAATTGTATCAGATAAATAAAATATCAGTTAGAGCTTCTAGGTGTTACTGAAGGTTATGTCTGAAATAAGTTGTTTATGTCAATGCATATTAGCAGGACTTATCACCACCAACAGGCTGATACTGGAAAAACAAAGCAAACAGAAGTGGGTGGTGTTTAATAACTTTCCTAGAGGTGGCAGTACTTGAATAGAAGCCAGGAATCCTGTTCCCCGTGCTGTCTTAACTGTTTCCTGATAATTAAAACAGTAACACAAATTGTAAATCCTCTGTGGCAGTTTGAATTGATATAACTAGAATATCCACTGTCTGTAGGGGAAGGGGGCAATGAGAAGGGAAGATGGCCTCATATTTGCTAAACTGCCTTGTGCTCTCAGAAAAGCATGAGTCTGCAGCAGAGCTTGCAGAAACTTTTCTCTGTGGGTGTAACTACCAGTAGAACAGACTGCAAGGATTAAACTTATTACAACTACAGTTCAAATCCAACCCAAACTTGAGAGGTTTACAACAGAAATAATGTTTTTTTCATTAATTTGTTATGTCAGGGATGTGTCCAGACCTTGGCCATATGCCAGGGGTCGGTACTGAAGGAGCTCCAGCCCTGACATTTGTCTGAAACTGCAGGGTCTGTTCTAGGGGAGAAACACGAAGGGATGTGGAAGTTGAGGGGTTGCATGTGGCTGCAGGTGCCTTCCCTGTTGGTATCGCCACTAGATGTCGGTGCAGGAAACCACTGCTTCGCTCCGAGCACGCTACTGAAACGAGGAGCCGGCTTGGGAAGAGCCAGCGGTTTCTTCAGGGTGCAGATCTGGTGTAGCTTCTGCTTACAAGGATCCCCACTGGGTTTAAGCTCTTTTTGATAAGGTTCTTAAGCCAGACTTGCAGTCTCTTAACTCTGGAAAATGCTGACAAGTAGGAAATGAGGAATTTCCTGATGCTATACCAGAAGAAAGTTTAGCAAGAGCTTGGTGACTTCAAATTTCATGGGAAATCACACAGAAGTGACTTTGAAATCCTTGGTTATCGAAGATGTGTAGGTGCTAGATTGTTACAGATGTAAGCAGAGTTAACTGCCTGAAATATCTTGGCCCTGAAGATCTCGCTGAATCTTTTGAAATCTCTCAAGGCCTTTACCTCACTAAAACTCTTTGGAATTTAGGTTTAGGTACATTCATTGTTGTATTAAAAAAAAAAAAAATCTCTTGCCAAATCTTAAAGAATATAGGCAATGAAAAGGGGAATTTCCCCTAAACCAACCTCCATAAGGAGGTACAAGCATCAATAGATAGAAATTAGGCTTACAGCTCTAATCTCCTGCTTTGATTCCCACTTGCTCTGAAGATGCGGCATTGAGCGAGCTGCCTGTGAGACCTTAATATAGCCATCACTTATATTAGTGATAATATAAAGTAGGCTTGCTTATGTAGGCATTGTTATGAAGCAGAATAAATGCTTTTAAAGTACTTAAGGTTTCTCAGTTGCTAAGTGCTTTATAAATGTTATTCACTTTAATTGTGCTTTATGTGTTACTTGCTATGATACATTCCTGCAGGGCTACTTTACCCGCTGAAATGTGTTTTAAAGCAAATGAGAGAAATGTTATATAATGAAAATAACACCATAAAAATATCTGAAGTGCTATACTTGAATAAATCTTACTTGCTTTTAGGTATCATCTCAGTCCAGCTCTGGGGGCTAGACTTAGAGAAAGACTATGATAATAGTAAAGTGCTGCAAATATCCAGAGCTACGCAGATATGAAGATCCAGGACCCCAGCTGCTTATCCTTTCACATCTTCAGAAGGTGAGTAGAGGTGGCTTCCCTCTGGTTTGGGTTCCAGCTTAATATTTTTAAGTGTTTGGATTTTAGGTGCGGTAGGCCTAGATGATAGAGCAGCGTCAGAGAACCTCTTGACCCAAGCATCTAGAGCTTGAATTCCTGATCCAATTTGATGTGTCTTAAAGACCCATACATGGGAGTGGGTCACCGTCTCTCACAAGGGCACTTTTACTATAGAATAACTGAGGGTTAGCTGCTGGCTGTATTTTTGGACAGGGCTTGTGCAACCTGATCTATGTTGGCCTGGCTCTGAGTGGGGGTTGGAGCTGAAGTTATTCTGTCAGTAGCCGAGAAGCTTGAAGTTGGTTCTTGACAAAGTGTAGTCAGTGATGTGCAAACAGGTTAAATGCAGATATGTGTGTACAAATGGTAGAAGGTGCAGGATTTAATGTGGTAAAACATCTGTGGAACCTGGACTAGCTATGATCTTGGCCCTATGTATTTTTAAGACTTGACTTCTGTTTACAGCTGAAGAGACCAGCTCTCCAATGGGCCTTGGTACACTCCAGAAGCAAACCCAACAGCAACAAATATGTTTGACAATCGTAGCACTGAAGGTAGCTTGTGGGATTTATTTGGAGATTGGTGTCATATTTTTTACTTTTGCATTAAAGAAATGATCAGCTGTTGCACGTCAGGACTCCAGTTTTTAGAGGATGTGTTTGCAGACAGTTCAGCAAATGGCTGGGGAGGGGGGGTGTTTATTTTTTTAAAGCCTGAAGCTGGTTTAGATTTGAATGGATACTGACCTGTAGTATAAATAGTCACAGAAACTGCTTTATGGAGAACTGTGGCCATGTAACATGCATTGAGCTGAAGGTCTTGTAGAACACGACTATGTGTAGAGGGACAGGGGTGCTTCAGTAAACTTTAACAGAATGCATGCACTTGCTCTTTCCCTGGGGCTCTGGCATGCAGACATCTGAGTGGAGCCTGTGTTCTCTGGCATCAGGAGCAAGGTCAATCCAGTTTGGCCTACATCTTTTTTTTTTATTATTATTGTAATGGAAAAAAAGATCCAGTCTGAGTTTTGCTGAAAGCTGTTGTTTTTCACTTAGTTACAGCTGAATATAGCCACACTTCCTGGTTCCCTCCCTCCTTCCCCTGGGTCTCATAGTATAATCTAATTATTAAATAGCTGCAATAAAAGTACATTTTGCCCTGGCAGGACTAAAGCCTATTGATAGGTCAGATATTTTTATGCCATCCTCGTCCTGTTCCTGCCAAAATGGGTTATTTTTTGGGCTCTCTTGTCTGCTTTTGGAGTTGTGATCTGCTCCTTTAATACATTCCTTCCAGTCTAGGCAGTGCTCTCCAACTGCCTGGCAGTGATGTTAGTGCCTTGCTTCCTAATCAATCAAGTCCTCTGCATGCTTCCTTAAAGGAAAACTCTGTTCATGTTGTTCAGCCCAATTACACAAACTTTCACAGGTGTAAGAAACATCTGTCACCAAAGATGATACTGATGTGGGAAGCAAAGGCGAAACTTCATCCTGTTTGGTGTTTCTGAGCCCATTTTGTGGGCAGTTCCTTTTCATAAAACTTACTTTGGGCAACTAGCCACAGACTTTGTAGCTCTGTTTCCAGTTGACATGAATATCTTGATTGTAAGAACTATGGGGATATTAAGAACAGGTTATATGTGAGTATAGTAAGGACAGAATTTGTCCTTACTTGCTTTGTTAATTAGAGAGTGGTCCCTAATAACTATATTCTGTGCCTCAGGTAGTTGCCTGCAGTAGTGGAGGTAGAGGGATTGTTTAGAATGTGCCTACTGCTTAGATCCAAAGTGAAAATGGGAGGCAGGTAACAAACCAAATATCACCCCAGACTAAAGGGTGGTGTATACTTGGACGCTTAGCCAGAGGTCAAGAAAATAAGCAGCCTTGAGACAAGGAGTAAGAGAATTGTAGTAAGACAAGGTGGAAGTAAGAACCAGAGCTAAGCAAAAGGATTTTGAGAACAGGAGGCCACCAGTTTGGTACATTGAGCACCACCATAGCTGGGATGGTCTGATTAACTCTGATATCAAATATGCATCAATTCGGCTGCTTCTCTGTTTCGGCAGGTTTATCTTTCTCTTAGTTTCCTAGGAGACTGATTAGCTCTGTGCTTTAATACTGAAGGAGCCAAAGAAACACCAAGCAGAGTGCAAATTGGCAATACAGAATGGAGGGAGAATGGGAGGATGTATCTGGAAGAATCATATCACAGGATGGGAACAGCAGCTTTTATACCAGTTTGTATTATGTGATATGATCACTGTCCATTACACTTCTAATTAGGAAAGAAAAAACAAACACTGTCTTGTAGAAATTTATTAAAAAGTAAAGATTGGGGTGAGCAATGTTATTGCATTCTGGGGGCTTGTGTCCTGTTAGAAGTGTGCTGCTGCAAAATGGCTGTTCCTAGCACAAGGTTTATGTGCCAGCTGGAACTGCTGATTTCCTTTGAAACTCCTGTTTTTGTAATTATTCATGGCAAAAAAAAAAAAAAAAAAGTTTCTTCCCATATGAACTTCTGGCTTGCTGAGCTCTGGGGTGAGCCAAGTAGGTTATTTTCTTCGGTGTCTGCATTTTTTCCTAATTACATTGTACCAGTTGTTGCCACACAAGTTTTATTTACCTGTGCTTCCAAATTGGTAAGTTCCATGTTCTGGAAAAGTTCAGCAGCACTTCCTAGGGAGTTTGTCTTGGGACTGCTTTGTATCTATGAGGGAGTAATATTCTTGTGCCAAATACAGCCCTTGATGTAAACTTTTTTTTTTTTATAACACATTTCTAAACACTTTCTAATCTAATTTGGTTTCAGGAAGTGAAAAGGTAGTGCTGTGTGTCTGAGCTGCCATGCTTTACCAGGCAGTAGCTGATGGGTGAACTTTATTTGCTGACAATCTTCTGTGCAAACTGAGAAACCATGGGTTTGCCTATCCTAAAGACATAAACTTTCCTCTAACAGTCTCCTAAGCAAGCTGGCATTCCTTAATGGTGAACATTTCACGTCTAATGCAGCCCATGTTATTCTGGGAAATCTTTACTAAGTCTCTGATGTTGGCTGACTCCTGAATCCATGTGGTTGGGCATGAGAGGAGAAACAAGATAATCTCTTAGGATAAGTGGGATCTACCAGCTTAGATCACAAGTCCTTGTGTCCCCTAGATGTGTTGTCCTGCTGCAGACAACCTTTGTGTGTCACTTTGAACAGCCAAATGCCAGCTGCCGCACAGATGGCACAAAACAGGGGGTTGCCCTGCACGTCATCAGCACTGGTGGAGATAGAAAAGAAAATTGGAAGTCACATACCCAAACTTCTGCAAGTGTATGATGAAAGGATCCTAAAGAGAGTAAACTTCATCCCTGCTGTGTCTGTTTTCCAGCAGGAGAAGCTGCAGGGTCACAGTAGTGGGATGATGAGATGGCTCTTGTAGTGGGTAGAAGCAACCCGAGCAGCAGTGGAGGATGTTGCAGCAGCAGGTATGAGACATGCTTTATTATAGCTGTAGTTTTGAGTCCCTTGTCTGTTTTAAATTGATTGCTGGTACTTGACTGACTTGCTCTCCTTGGTGTCCTTGTATTCATTTAGATGCTCTATTACACTGTTGGCAGTGCTGGACATCAGTGATTACTTTTAAGTGCACTCTTTCTGGTATATTGATGATTCATACTATTAGGAGAGGCTTCCTGCCTTTCCATGACTTAGTGAAAACGATCTATTTCATAATGTCTCCTTACTCTTAGCAGGGTTTGTGCTCTGTTCCCAAAACTCCCACTGTTTTCACTGTGAGCATGACCAGACTGTGAAATAGCTTGGCTCGTCTGGTGAATAATCTGTTAGTCTCTGTTAATAAACTGCAGTTTTATTTATCTTGCTGCTCTTTAGAGCTTTTAATCTCAAAACATTTGAGTGCAGAAACTGTCCAGTAGTGAAATGCAGCCATCTCTCTTGGGGATAGAGTGGGAGGCAGACAGGCAGGCATTTTACTCCACAGTTTAGAGTGAGAGGAATTTTGTTCAAGGACAATGAGGGAAAGCTTAGCTTGTATGCTGAATGACCCTTTGATCTTCCACGTTCATGCTCAGCTGATCAGGAGTTTAAATCTAAGCTCTGTCTCCCTCCTACCCATAGCAAACAGCTAGAAATATCACCTCATTTAGGACTTGAGCACTGGACCAGAATGACAGGACTGCAGTGGCAACTGCTCAGCTTTATACGTTTCCTATTTGCCTTTCACTTCCTCAGGGGACACTGACATAAAGCTAAAGAATGGTGGGTAGCAGTTCTGGGATGTGGAGTAAGGTGTACTCCGAGGGTGTGCAGAGGGGAAGGGAAGGCCAGGTCTGTTACACAGAAATACTCTCCTACATGCCTGTAAATACTGAGGAACTGGACAGTGCTGTAGTGTTAAAAGGTGACTTTCTGGAACATACTGAATAGGTCAGTGCATAGCCATGAGATGCATTTGATAATTCTGAAGCGTTGTGGTGTTTGCTAATCGTGATGAAGTGACTGGCGTTCTGAGACTCTGAAAACTGAGACTAGTGAGCTGGTGGTGTGGTAGGTCAGCGCTCCTGTGCAAGGGGAGAAGTCTGCAGAAACTGCTGTGGCAGAAGCAATGGAAACGAGCAGGCAGAGTATGATAAGAAGCTGGATACTTGACCTGCAGCCCTTGAGCAGTTGTAAAAGATTGTGTTACGTCTACTACTATGCAGCACATCATTAGGAACCTTAATTACGGGGAGATGACTGCATTGCGTAGGCTAGAGTGTAGCCTGCAGGAATGTAGGAGCTTTAATTTTACGCTTACTCTGTCATGTGTGTCTTAGTTGGGGAAGGATACAGAAAGGCCTGTTCTTGTTGCAAATAAACTTGGCTGGCTGATAATGTGCAACTCCTCTGAGCTAGAATAGCTGTAGCCCATTTGATAGGTAACAGCTGGTGCTTTTTGCCTCTTCCTACATATTAAA